TTCAAAAATTAAAGATATATCAAATGTATCAAATATGATTGAAATTTGTATTCTGAAACATTTTGAATTAAAATATTGTAAAAAATAATTTTAAAAAAGAGTTATTTTTTTTAAACCAACAAAAAAAATCATTCTTTTAAGCTAATAAATATTAATTTACATTTATTCTTTTTGTTCACTTATTCATTTTAGGCTTCGTGTGTTTTTGTCAAAAACAATAATTAATATAAATACTTTATTATAATATTTATATTAAGTATTAACTAATGTTCAATATTATTTTTTATTAAACAATTAAAAATAACAAGCAAAATTCTATCCAAAAAGTGCCTTAATTCCTAGCCGATTAGCCAAACATAAAAATATACTGCCACGTTAAATAATTAAAATTAGTATATAATTAACCATCGATAATATAATTAGAAAGTAGACCAATTTTTACTTACATTATTTAGCATTATCACAAAAATGAAGATAACAACATTGATTCTTAAATCTTCATATATATAATATATATGGATATTCATCGGGTATTATTCTTTTCCCTTCCTTTAAATAATCTTTTTCTCCCGCCTTTGAATAATTTGCTTTGTGAAACTTATCTACTATAGTAAAAAGGCACTAAGGAAATTAAAGTGATTTAATGACTAGAACAATCTTGATTAAGATTATTAGCTTTATATAAAGTAGAGGATTAAACAAATTGTCAAGCACTTAATGATTGATTTATCGTGATAGTTTTGGACTTATGGTGGAATTTAAATGTGTCATTAGCACCTAATGTTATAATCAAATCCATAATTAATTAGTTTTTATGACTTTGTTTCGATCTCAAGAAATCTATTTGTTCTAATACCATGTTGAAATGATAATCAACTCATCTTAAGCGGCTTGAGAGCATAAAAAGATCAATTTTATTTAACTAATTTAACATAATGCGTCAAGATTTTACTAGGTTGAATTTTATCCACATAAGAAGATCGATAATGATTCTTTTGATTTGATTGACCATTTATATATTATTCTTTCGGTTTAAAAAAGAATGACCTAGTTTAACTTGAAACAGAGTTTAAGAAAAGAAAAAAGATTTTTAAATCTTGTGGTTCTAAACTAAAGTTATATCAAATGTATCAAAATGTCTTTTATTTAATCTTGTGGTCTTAAACATGTCACGTGAAAAGTTAAAGTTAAAATGTTACTAAAAAAGAAAGGAATCATTCCTTTTGAAACAAACTAAAAAGAAAATATGAATATTCTTTTTGAAACGGTGAAAGTGTTATTTATCTACATATAACAATTTTATTTTTTTTTAAATTAAAAAATATTATAGTTCGACATAATCTAAAGATTTTCATCAATGATCTGTATTCCAGCGAAGCGGACCGAGTGTCATATCCGATTTCCTAATTCATGTCCGTATAATTATCTGTATAATCAATAATTAATTAACTAATTAATCCCTTTTATTAGATGAAGAATCGTACGGTCAGATCCTCCTAATGGTACTGGTTATGTACTTTATTGTCCAATTTAACTCTCGATATTAAATTAATCTGGCATAGGGATAAGAGTTATTTGTCAGTTAACCAAAAAGAGGGTTAATTAATTAATGGTTTAATATTAAGCAAGTGTTAATTAAGAACCCCACACACATAACAATTTGCAAAAAACAGTTGGGACAAGCCATGTGAGTAGATGAATACGGTAAAGGTACGGCCTGGTGGTTTTGTCTGGTTATGTAACAGCCATATGGCCTTACAATATTTATTTGTCCTTTCTAATTAAATCTTGTGATTAAGGGAGGGATTAATTACATTTAAGTGGAATCAGAAAAATGAAATATTGGTGGTTGGGACTAGAATAGGATGGTGGGACATTAACAAATTCATGAGTGTATTTCTTGTCGTTTTAGTTAATCGATTTAAATTCATATTTTATATTAAAAATATTGAATTCGGATAAATCAATATTTCGAAAATCCTTCACGGGTGAGAGGAAGAATTCACGTAGTTCCAAGTTTTTGAATGTTGCAGCAACATGACATGATGATAGAATGTCACGTGCATTTACCGCCATGTGCTCTTGGTATGGCGCTCCATCTTTTTTTTTTCTTATTTAATTTTAACGGAGATGAATTTATGACATAAAGTGAGTGATTTATGTGATTTCAAAATTTTATATTACAAGCGATTTTTTTTTATATGTTGATAATTAATATGAGAGGAAGACTCGTGAAATTGGATTGTGATAGATTGATAATATTTCATGTGAAATTTAATATGAGAGAAAGATTTGTAAAAATTGAATCGAAAAAAATGCTATCGAATAAATGTACTTCTAATCATTTTTTTTTAAAAAAATATTGAGTTATTTGTTTGGTATCAGTTTTTAGTAATGAGTAAATTTATAACTCATTAAGACGTTAGTAAAAGCTAAAAATTTTACTAAGGATTTCCAAAAATAATGGTGTGTGATTGTCAAAATAAAATTAAAAAAAAAATACTGTGCTATTTGGGGTTCAAACATGAAGCTTTTTCGTTCAGATAGACAGTCATTTTCATTGCGCCAAAGACATAGATTTTGTTAAAGGTGTCCAACTTTAAATATATATCCTTTAAATATAAAATTTGACATATATATACAATATATTTTTACAACAAAGGTTGTCCAATTAGACGACTTGGGTTGGCCGTAACTATGCCATTACTTCATACGTCGGAGTACTTTTACTTTACATAAGAAATTTTATATTATGTTTTGATTGTAACATATAATTGTAGCCTTTGTAGTATGTACTACGTATATCTACTCTTATTAATGCAATTTCTCATTATATTTCTTGTTTTACCATATCAAAATATTTGCTATATGTTTGTCCACTGTATCGCGCCAAATTGTTAGAGAAAGTGAGAAATCATATATTTATTTTATGAGTATTTTTTTATTGGGTAAATAAAAAATCGAACCGTTAATAACCAAAAATCGATAAAAAAAATATCTTATTGTTTTGTTATTAATTTAGCATATTTAAAATCGAAAGTCAATAATACATAAGACCGAATCAAATCGATGAATACCTTTGGACTAATGGATCGACGAGATAGGTTACACAAAACCTAATTCAAATGGAATTATTAATGAATACATGAATGATATTTTATTATTTTAATTGAAAGATTTAGCTTAAAAAATTAACTATAGAATGTTAAAATAATTTCAATTAATGATATGAGACCTTTAAAAGAAACCGTACAAATTTTATTCAAATTGAACAATATCACACTAATGCACTATACTAGTGTACTTGAGTTGATATAGCCCAACATGCGCGCGCACAATCGGACAGTATCACATGCACCGAAACTGTTAGAAAATCAAATATTATACTATAAAATATGAAGGAAAAAATTATAATTTTTCAGGTTAATTAAAGCATCTTGTATTTATACATGATTCATGTCTAAGATTATGGAATTGTGATATAGATAACTAATTCTAATACAAATATTGATAATTATTTTTACGATTCAAATTCAAAACTTATAAATTTGGAGATAACTTAACTGTTCTATAATTTCCCTTCGGTCAATAATACTAACAAAATCATAAGAGCCAAACAATAGTAGTTAAAATATAATCAGAAAAGTAGAACTGTCAAAATATGTTTCTACTTTACTAGAACTTAGGTCGAATAATGTGTTTTCTAAAACAAAACTTTATGACACGGTGTTCGTGCTAGCTTTCACGCATCTTTAATATTACGGGATAGTTTTCACCTCTCACTAGGTAACTACGTCCACTAAAGTTAGGACAAATAGAAAGAATCACCTAGTATTTTTTTTATTTCTTCTAATTTTAGATTTTCTTTATTTTTCACCTCAATATTTCAAGTATTAATTAATTCATCGTTTCATAGACTATCAAATTTCACATCTACGTTGTCCAAATCCACTAAATTATTCAAACTTTTCTGTATTTAGCCTCTCACGTGTATTATATTCTAAACCACTAAGCTATTCTTGCTTATTAATTTTTCAATGGATAAGGACATATTATAATGAAGGAGATATTCTTAGAAAGTAATTAAGTGGAAATAATTGGCTTAATTAGGTAGACAATAGTGACTTAACATAGGTTTAGGCTTAACAAGTTGGTTCGACAACAACAGCATTTGGCAAATTAGTAAGGTTCTAAGATGATTAACTAATTATATTAGTACTATTTACTTATTGGTTGTTAGGTATTAGAATAATTAATGTTGTTGTCACGTATAGCTCAAATAAATGAAGTAACATGGGTGACGATGGACATCACATGTGTCTTTGTTGTATATATGGTCTTACAAATATCAGTTCTTAGTTACGTTGCATTCCTTTCAAAGTTATTCTTATTTTTTTTTCTCGTAAACTTCATTCCAGGATTAAATTATATTTTATAAGAGTTGAATTATCGATTATATCTCAATTAAGTGATGAATTTTTGTATGTAATTGAGCAATAACTTTCGTGATTGTTTCAGTTCATTTTGACATGTTCAAATTCAATCCAATGAAAAATACTGTTTGTCATAAATCTAGTTGTTCATGAGTGGTATGTAATAAATTCAAATTATAGACAAGTATTATCATTTGGTTATTCATGATGTCAAAGCCAACTAGTAGAAGAATGAATCTAATAAATTTAAATGAATCCTAAAATTTGGTTACTTAGGGTGCGTTTGGTACGGAGAAAAAGGATCAAAAAGAAAAACATTTTGTCTGATTTAGTCCTCTACATCCTCTAACATCTTCACCCGTAGCCCCACTCTCACCGCCACCTTCTGTATTATTTATCTAGATTATTTGAGATAATATTCTTTACCTATATACCGAAAAATACCCTTAATTCTCCTTGCTAACTAGAACGAAGTATCGCCTAAATTTTATCCCATTACGGGATAACATCAAAAGATTATTTTGTCAAGTCATTATGAGTCCAGTTACATGTTTAAAGCCCAGTAACCAACTGAATGTTTTTTGCCAATCATATTAACAATATTATTAGTAAACAACACTTCTCAATGAATATTTCAGCAAAAAATAAATATTGGCAAACAACGGGCAATACAAGCTGATATTAGAGATTTCTTAGAGAAGTCTCTGGTGAATTGTTCTATAGAGAAAGCTATAATCTTCTACTTTTCACATACACCTATCACGATGGCGTGGAGGAAAAAAAGGAAAAGCAAAAGTTACCCCTATTCTGTTTTACTGTAAATACTTCACATGCTTCTCGTACAGCCCAGATAACAGCTTTGGATGCTGCAGGAACAAATTATTTGGTCACCCCACTTCAAATTTGCTGCAAGCTCCAAAATTGAGCTCCCATCGTACACTAGTAAAATAATACTTGAATTAGAAATTAGGCATTTGGGAGGGGGGGAATACTAGTCTTCACAGCAGTGCCTATGTACAGCATGACCATGGCATCAATCAAGAGGAAACACAATTTAATAAGATGTTCTATAACTCATGGTATGGTTTCCCACCCCTCCAAACTTATGTACAAATAGTCAAAAAAAACATTTAACGACACTTGAGGGGGTCAGGGGCTGAGCAACACCCCACGCCATAACATAAATAAAACAAAACATACACGAGGGGGACATAAACCTTATATCTGATCCTATGATGGTTCATAGTAGACTTATGAACCATCATAGGATCGGAGGTAAGGTTTATGTTTCCCTCTTGTATATTTGTTTTGTTTAATTTATGTTAAGGCATTGGGGTTGTCGCTTAGCCCCTGACCCCTCAAGGGTTGTTACAAAAAAAAAAAGCAGTCGATCTTTACAACCAAGAAGGTTCATTTAATCCGGGGTATGTGGGGGTGGGAAGGAATAAAAAAAGAAAAAAAGAAAACCTAGTGTCCCCAGAATTCCTAGCAATAGATCATTAACAAATGCAAATAAGAATGTTGCCAGGTGGGTGGGGGAAGCAAGCCTAGGTAATCATAATATCAATTCTTGCGAACAAATGACAAGCATTTAAGTGTTTAGGCAGAAATAAATCAAATAATATCCCATCCGTAAGCAAGGACTACAAATCCAGTTAGTTTGACATGTGTTAACTAAAGATAACTGGATCTACACATCCCAAAAAGGAGTAAAACTGAATGCAGGTTTTTCAACAGGCAAACATTGTTTCAGACATCGGAACAAAGTTCTAAATAAGTACCATCAGCGACTAAACCGAACAAAATACACAAGAGCTAAATTATACAAAGGATATAAGGTCACACCATATATGTTATGAATTCATATCAACACGTCTGAAAATCGCTCTATTTTCTTTTTCTCTCGCTTTTATTATTGGGATAGTGGCTGGGAAAGCTACACGGATTCACTATTTCACAGGGCACCAACTACTTCCCACCAACACAGGTATGAGGATAACTATGCCCACTAGGGCTTAGGAAGATTGACAGAAATTACCTACCTTTTCCTCTATCTTGGAATTTGAACCCTCCAAGGTTTTTATTGAACTCGTTGAGCTCCAATCTCAAAGAATTGTCTTTTGAGACAAAATTAAGGGCTCACAAGACACTTAAGGTCATATGCATATTCTACTCACCAACAAATCATTACACAAACTTAAAAGACTCCTAAATATGGACCTATAAGTGTAGCAGCATGACTAAGTCTTACTCTCAATTAGTTGATATCCTTAAAATATATTTTACTTTTAGTTGTGTGGCACTCTTTGCTACAGATTTCGTGAGATTCTAGTTTTGAGACAACTTTCCCAGTATTACTTTAGGTTTACCTCGTTCACTTTTAACACTTCCAATCACTATGGTGTCACAATTACAAACCACTGTGCTTGGAGTCATGTGTAAATGGATAAACTATCCCCGTGCAACCTTTTATTTCATCCCCTTAATGCTACTAGTAATACAATCAGATGTGATCATCTCCATTTAGTTATTCTAATACCAAAAGGCAAAAAGCTCTAATATAACCAAAAAAAAACATAACATACCTGCTCCTGCCAGTTAAATTGGTAAGGCTTGTTCTTTATCAGCAGCTGAATAATAACAAAAAATGACTTGGCATATATTTCTTTGGGAAGAACTCCAAATACTTGCTGACCAATGGCATTGAGATTCACAATGAACAAAAGGTTAAAGAAGAAAAAACATTGTTACCGCATACTATTGTCACAATACTCGTCCAAATAGAATTCCACCAAAGATAAACGCACCAAACCATTTGTTGGAAACAAATCTACATACAAAGCACAATAAATTTAAACAGTGAAGAGTTTTAAGACTAAACATTATCAGTAAGATGAATCAATTCATAGGTTCATTTGAACTTCTTTGGGTGCTATATGTGAATCGCTTGTGATACTTGTTAAAAACCAACTCTGCCACTGATGACTAAATCAGACTAATTGTCAGTATGTCAGGTGTTTCAAGCTCATAGTAGTTGACAAGTAGCAGTAAACCAGTTAAGTTTAAATTCATTCTGTAAATATTATGAAATCATGTCTCTAGTTACAATGGATATATACTTCCTGTTGCAATCTGCACGAGATGACAGATCAACAGTCCAAATTTGCCAAGCCATTTGGCCAGAAGCAGCTGCCAAAAAGGCGTAGTATGGCCATCCTGCTCCAGACAAAGAAGAGATGAGAAAAATTAAACTAAAAGAAATTGTGGCAAATAAGTAACAACAAAAATGATAGCCACAAGACCATTGTAGCTAATTAAATTAGAGAATGGAATTGTTACCAATATCAGCATTAATTCCGGAAAGAGCAAGACTGCTGATGCATGCTAATCCAAACCCACTGATCCATTCTTTTGTGGAATCTCCAAATCTTAAGGCTGTAGATTTGACACCCACTTTGAGATCGTCTTCTTTATCCTGGATGACAGTTACTAAAATATTGACAAGAGCTGCTTTCACATGAATTATAAGTATCTCATACTAGTTTAATACGGAAAACAAATCCAGACAGGTGCATCTGATATATAAGAAAACATTCAGACTTGTGGCACAAGGCAAATTATGACACTGAGAACCCAAGTCTAAAAGGCCTAATCAACATGAGTCATTTCTTTCATTTAATTAAACATTTTTGTGACATCTATATTTTATGGCAAAGGCAGGCGTTCGTGTTAATATCAGTCTTATCAAAAGCAAAAAGCAAAAAGCGCAAAAAAAAAAGCTCTTAGGTCCATTGGGGCTTTAAGCACAAATAAAACGTGGACTTTAATGAAAAAAGGTACAAAGCGAGCAAAAATACAAATATATATCTTTAGTCCAAGACTAATAATTATAAGCATGAATGACAAATATATGACCAAGGAAATTGAAAATATAAATACAATAAAGTGAAATATCAATTGTTTAGTGTCGCTTCTTCCAAAGAGGCTCATTGGCAAGGAAAAATATGTCCTAGAAACTCGATGACGACACCGAAATAGTGTGCATATCCCAAGAAAACACGCTTGAAGGTGCAGGGTCCTTACTAGCGTAAAACTTCTTTAACATATTATTAGCTCAATATGTTATATGTCATATTCATGTTGGTATTTATTCTGCTAGAAGTCTCAAACTCCATTTAGTATAAGAGATGGCAGCTAATTTCAAATGATCAATACATACCTGATGTGCATATATTGTGTCATATACAAGCGTCCAAAACACACCGGACGCATATAGAGGAAGCACAACCGAAGGATCAATACTTCCTTTAATGGCAGCCCAACCTAACAAAGCTCCCCAGTTGAAAGTCAAACCAAGAAAGGCTTGAGGCTGCACCAACAGATATAGACATCACCTTCCAAACCAAACAGTTGGCAAAAGATCCACAGAAGCTGAGAAGGGTTGTACCCTTTGGAGCTGAGGGCAGGGAGAGCGAGAGAGAGTAGAGATATACTGATTTGAGAGATGCAGCATGAAGATTCGGATTTATTACCCAAAATGTAAACCTCTTCATGAGGGGGTATGTGAAGACCAGCAACAGGGATGAAGCACCCAAAATGCGGCTGCAGGAATAGAAATGAATAACTAATAATGTAAAAATGTCACATAAAAAAAAAATTCTTCGTTGAAATGCAAGAAAAAAATATAATATTATCACGAATGTCTAGTTCTCCAAATATTGATAAGTTAAAAATAAACTGTCCATGCAAATTAAGCATAGTACCAGGCAAAGTAATAAATCATATGTAATTGAAATGGAGATTCCCATAAATGTGTGGTCTTTAGACCCATATGTAATCCAAATGGGGATTCCAACAAAAGCCATGTCTTTAGTCACATATATCTGTAACTTGTGAAAATTACTCCACTTCCCATACCTGGGTTTTACCAGAAAAAACTGATCGCTCTCATTATGGATTGAAGTATAGAATTGAAGTCAAGTAAGAGAATTTAACAATGAACTGATTTTTCCACATTGGTCTTGGGAATTGTGCAGTAAATGACAATTTTCTGACTTCATGCTTATGAAGGGAACTATGCTAACCTCTCTATAAAGCAGGAGATTGAAAGGAAATCATATAAATGTCTATCAGATAGCCATTCTCTAGATCAGCTAACCAACTGGAATGAGCCAATCAATCTAAACACTCTCAAATAGATTAAGCAAAGAACTTTCTTTGCAAGACGAAATTTGGGGAAAAACAAAATTATGTCCAGAAGAAAAGAGACAAACCTATAATTATTCAATTGCAAAAGAATCCCAAGACCCAATAGCAATTGGAATCCAAGAAAAGTGAGTCCCTGAAAGGGTGTCAAGACACCACTAGCAACTGGCCTTGACCTTGTTCTTTCCACCTGCACCGCATAAAGCTCTCAAATGCACCAAAAAGCAAGATAAAAGACTAACTTGTTATGCAAAATCTCAAAGGTAAACCAGCTTTCAGAAGATTGGTAAGAAATGATTATACCGTGGTTGAGAATAGGAATCAGGAATTCAGCAGTATACTATATCAGTATCAGCAGTCAAGAACTATTAAACTATAAATTTAGAAAAGATCACAAATGATAACAAGGGTGAGAAAATAAAAGACATAAGCTATCAACTTTAAGTTTCAATGGCATCAAACAAATCACATTGCTACCCAATTGAGCAGTAAAGATCACAGAAGAAGCAAGTCAAACTAAATAAAAGCCGCACATTTTGCAATGAAATACCAGAATATGAAGGAAAGACTAGCATTTTTTCCTCCCATTAATTCCATCTCTCTCTCACTCATGAGCAAGACGGTGCTGAATGAGGCATCGCCTTCATTCAGTAAACAAATTCCTCACTCCGAAGTCCAACTTTTACCTACTTAGGCAATATCTATGGAAAACCACTCACCTGTTCAAAACATTCTAGATATCGATACAGCATAATGAGTTGGTGAGTTCCCTTTTCTTGTGGAACTCTAAAATACTTATAACAATCACTTGGGGTTTACCACATAAATTAGACAACAAGAAAATGGAAGAAGAGAAATAAAAGTGTTCATCTTTTGGGATATACGAGTATGTAGCTCGACTATACAAAATTCTACTAAAAGTGCAAGGGAAAGCTCAATCACCTTAGTATCGATATCTCGATCAAGAAGATCGTTAACGGTACATCCAGCACCTCGCAAAAGCAAAGCCCCACAACCAAATAGTGTCATCATCTTCACATCAGGTAAACTCCCAGGTGGAGCAGCCAAAGCAATAGACCTACATATAAATCCTTAAAAAGTATAACAAATAAAAAACAAAAAAAACACAATGTTTTGAAGTATAATATTGAGTTACCACATGCAAGGCCAAGCGAGTAACCAAGTGCCAATAGGCTTATCAAGACGGGCAAGATGGGCATAAGGTCTAATTTTTTGGGGCAAATAAGTATCAACCCAAGAAGGCCTTTGTTGCTCATTCTTCTTCTTCTCTTCCGAATCAGCTAATGTTGAAAAGTGAAGAACTTGGCGGAACCCTGAAAGTTCGATTCTTGAAGAATGTGAAGGGTAAAATGTCAACAATTTTCTAGAATTGAGGGTGTGATTATGATCATCAGAAGAAGAAAATTGAAGGGGGTTTATAAACGGAGAATAAACAACAGTCGCGTTAGGGTTTATTAGGTCGCCGGAGGAATACAGAGCAGAGATAGCGTGCCGACGGAAGACATGGCGATTCCGAGAAAGGCGGCGATACAGTGCCATTTTTATCAATGAAAATTGAGACGGACTAAGGGAGGGAATATTAACGGGGTCTGACCAAATTGACGGCGTCTGGTCGTTAAATACCTAAATTTTTTGTTTCCTAATTCCTTGCAAAAAAAAAAGAAAAACTGTAAACTCCCAAATTGCATTGATGCTAAAAAAAATTAAATTATGCTACTATCATGTATTAAACATATAATATTGGGAATATCAATCAATGGTTATTCTACAATTGAATAAACTTCCATACATTTCTTAAGAGGAGTGTTATGTTACAACTTTGTTTAGAATTATGTTGTAGAAAGTAATGGGTGACATGAAGAATACGATATGTTATGGATTCTATATTCACTATTTTATAGAAAAATGAAGATGTTATTGGCTTGATATTGATTTAGACTAATTAAAGTAAGATATTTAATTTTTATATACAAGATTGCGATGAAATGGGAAAGAGAAAGAAAAAATAGTATTTTAAACTTTATATTTAATTAAATGCTACTATATAAACTAAAACTAAAAGGGAAAGGATTTTGCTAAGTCATAATTCTCCTATTGTGAAAAAGAAAGACGATTTTTTGGAGGTATAAATAATTCAACATATTTTTTAGTAGAACTTTCTAGAGTTATGAATAGTAGTACCTTAAGTACTTGATGTATCTAGGAATTGTGTAGATGTTCTAGAGAAGTAGATATTTGTATTGAATTATAGAAAAATTTATATTGTTGTTAGATAGTTAGAAGATAAGGTCATCTAGATTTTTCTTATAGATCAATCTAGAATACCTCTACTCTAGTATAAATAAGGGTGGTCATAGTCATTTGTAATCAACCCAAATCAAGTAGTCTTCTTCTAAGTTTTCTTATTCAAAATATTCCCTCTCCTTTCTAGCTTTCTTTTCTTTAGTTGAATTTTTCAATCTTAGTTAACGATCTTGAGCTAGTAGAAAGGTTCTTAATTATACTTTTCTTCTATTATTCTCTACACCTATAAAATCCAACATTAAACGAGATGAACCCAATGTTTATCGCTTACTATATGTTTTTTTTTCTTATTTGATGTCTATTATCTGGTATTCACAGTGAAACCTATGAATATGGCTTCGAAGTAAGTTGCATGGACCAATATTTTGGACCCACATGTATTCTCAAAAGAATAATCTTATTCTTTGAATGCAATAGAATATAAGTAGTGTTTAATTAAAGCATGACAATCAATTAGTTACTTCGTATTATTGGCAGAAGAGCTAGAAATTTGATGAAGGGTGTGCAAATTTTCTTCTCAAATGTGTTAAGAATGTTTATAATTAAATATATATTCATATTAACTAACATTTAACATTTGTTCATCATATAATTTTCTGACGAAGGATATGCACCGAACCACCCTAAACTTAAGGTGTAAGAATAATAATATAAGGATTCAATTAATCGCCTTGTAATTCTCTCACAGGTGTAAGAATAATAATATAAGAAGACCTAATAGCTAATCGCTATTAGGTTCTGGTTCATTTCTGTTTTGCCTTGCATTTTATGCATACTCCGGAGGGACTACATTTGCACATATTATTTACTTGTAGTAGGAAGGAGAAGTTATATAGTTGAATCTATTCACTACTTCTGTACAGCTGCTCAAGCTAGAAATATGATTTTATGTGGCGATTCTCAAATATACTCAACGAAAAAATGGATACAAGCTCATTGCTACATCATGAGGCGTTTCTGTTGCAGAAGTTGTAACCAGAAATGAGAGAGCTAAATGCAAAGGCTATAAAAGCCAGGAAGGACACCCCAATAGATGCAGATGCCATCTCTGTAAACTCATCCTTTCCCCAATTTGATATCCAGTCATATGCCCTCGTTGCAGCTGAAGAAGATGCTGACATAATCAGATAAGCCAATATCTGCGCAGGTATAAGCAAAAGCAAAAGGAAAACAAAATCAAGAGCAAATTATACACAAAAACAACAGGAATAGTGCAAAGCAGAGTTGTGGACCTGGTTAAAAGCAGTTTTCCAATCACCACTATGAACTGAGTAAGCAATTATTAAGAGGGTCATCAATTTTAAGGAAGCAAAATAAGAAAACTATTACATCTTTTGCTTCCAGTTATCACAGTCTACTAAGTAGAATAATTTGCTAAAAGTACAATTCAAAGTTTAAATACTGGAAACTTGTGCCCCTAAGCATAATGACCAAGAGTCATTGATTTATAAGTACTTATATAGTTTGTTGGTTAATAAAAATTGACCAAAAAGATAAAATTGTTAAAAGAGTCCTCTGAAGACGGAAGGCAGACCTATATTCGTCAACACCAGTGTGAAATCAAACTTCAAAATGAAAAGCTGAATCATTAAGATGTTGATCTAAAAGGAATTATTTGTGGTATAAAGATTATGCATTGATATATACTACTCAACTCATATCAAGATAGTATGATACTTATGATACATCAGAGCTCTTATGATAATTTGAACTGACCAGGGAAAACATAGGACAGTGAAGCATAGATCATCAGCCCCACGACAAATAAGGAAGTTTGAATGTCCTGTGTTTCGTATCAGGGATCAGCGCTACAATCAATTTAAATTCATAGTATGCCAGTCATACTAAAAAGAGATATTAAAGGGTTCACCTCTGCCATCCTATCTCATATAGTGCAACTGCACATGGTCTTGGTTTCAAGTACTGATCGAAGTAGTGTAAAGTGTAAATGAGGCATTGAAATTTTTGTTCAAAAGTAAGAGCTGAATCTTATCCGCTAGCTCCTAATATCAGAAGTTTTTGATCCATACAAACCACAGAGATAGAACTTTGGCAGACAATCTATAATACCCTTAGATGCTCCTATAAGCTTGGACTATTCGAAAGGGTCATGGAATGTCATACTTCTCGAAACACTCAGTTTAAGACCTTTTATAGAGCTTGTCTAGTAGAGTAGTAACATCCAACTCAAGAACTAAAAACAAATACAATAAAACTAGATATATGTGTTAACCCAAGTAAACACGTTCAAAAGGTATTACTTGCCTGATCCATTAAGAAATCAAAATGATATCGCGTGTAGTGAGAGAGGAAGTGTTTCCGACTTGCTAAATTGTAAATCAGATCAAACACTTGAAATACAGAATATGCAAATCCAATAGCATTCACAGCAACACAATACCTGTGACATAATATAAAAGAATTTCAGACACTACAATTGATATTTGAATTCATTTCAGCCGGATACGCTGGAGATCATCAGTATGCAGATTATGAATAAAATCGAACCTGTACTCTTTGTATCGATCAAAAGAGTCACCACTCCAACCTGCAGTTTTATCAGCTGCCATAACCGAGAACGAAATCAAGCACAACACAAACTCACAAACCCTAAACCCTAACGCCGCTCTGGTCAGCGTCAATTCCATCTTCGAACGCACGGTCCTCGGAGGTCTCTCCCCTTCCATTTCTCCACCTTCCACGTCACCACCACGAACCGGTCCCACTTTGGTCACTCCGTTAGTTACATCCTCCCTACCCGGCCTACCAAAATAAACTCCCTGAGATTTCCGATCCTTGTTTCCGGCTTCCGACGGCGGAGTAGGTGTCGGAGGTAAACTTAAATTCTCACAGGAAAGTTTATGTGGGGATCGAACTGGAGAGTAGTACTTGTCTACAGAAACCAAGGCTTTTGAAGAGAGCGATTTCGTTTCCCGGTCATCGAAATGCAACTGCGATTCGAAATGGAGTGGTGAGTGGAAGGAGTCCATTTGACTCACCTGTGAGTCGGTGTCGGACATTGATTGGCTATTATGCTTCTGAAAATTCCGGTGGTGATTGGAGTTGGAAGTTGAACTTGAATTCGAATTAGAATTTGATTTCTCCATTTTTTTTCAGTTTCCCCGGCAAAACTTGTATTGACAGAAAACTAAAGTAGGAAAATAATGGAAATGCTTTTAGCTGTTTGCTTCCTTTTTTTAAAATACAGTTTACTTCTATCTGTTCTTTTACAAAATAGAAACTAGGCACGCGCTCTCTCTTTTTATCTTTTTTATATTTGAAATTCGAATCCAAACTTCAACACATATATTGACGCTCTTTTTTTCTTTTTACAAGTTTTTAATTTTAATTTTCATGTAACATATTTAAAATTACTAAATAATAGAATATTTTAGCATTCTATAATAGTATATTTTTCATAGAAAATTTGCAATATTATTGAACATTTTAACTTCATAAGCTAAAAATACGAAGGCTTTTTCAGAGAAATTGTTAGAAAAGATCTATTATTAAAATAATAACTAATGATTTAGTTTTGTTTTAAGCAATCAATCTGCTGATCTCATAATTCGCTTGTGCATGCTAAATCACAACGTCGTTTGATTGCACCTCTAATTAACTTTTCCCTTTTGAGTATTCAAAAGAATTAACCAAATAATGTCTATCCAATCATTTAACTAAAAAATAATTAGTTTTATAATTTGACAATATTGATTTAACGAACACGTGTGGTAATGGTGTATTACACAAAGAAAACCACTTGGTTAAGAAACAAAATTTCGACCTTTTTCTTTACTAGAGTAAAAGATATGAAGGATAGTGGTGAGTAAGGATATTTTGCCTCATTAAGCATAAAAGTGAGAGACTTTTACTTTATATTTATCAATCAATTCTTTCCGAACCTATTATCTTTTTTGAGGGGCCAAAAAAGAAAGAAAAAAAAGTAAAAAAGCAAAAAAGTTGTGTTCATTATCCTCCACTTGCTTTAATTCACTTTAAAACGTATATTTACTAGACCCTTTCTTCATCGATTGATTAAAAGAGCTTTTTCTCAATATTATAAGGAACACATGTACTTTTGAAAATTTAAACGAGACATGTCTAAATATGTGTATACTAATAATTTATATTTGATATGTAAGTTTAAAATCTATTTGTATATAATTTAGACAAATACTATGAATTGTGATGAGGTGGGGTTTGGCACGGGTGGGGGCTACGAAATGTGGTAAAGATGAGGTATGTTGAAGGAGATTGAGAGAACACGATCAATATAAAATGTCAGTTTTTGAACATATTTTTTCTTCCAAGGTATGTATCAACACAAAATTCAACAGATTCTAGAATATTTTGTTGCTTACCAAATTTCTTAAATGATATTTTTATATAGTAAAGTTATTTGTCGCTTATATAGGAAAAAATTAATACTCTTGAGTTTGCCCATTTTGCTTTCAAATTTAATTACAAAAAGGAACTCCAAAAGCTTCCCTTTTTCTGAGAAGTGGACATACAAAAAGAGAATGCACTTAAATTTTAAAAAAATTAGTAGTTCCTTTATTAACTTTGAACACAATATAGCCAAAGACCAAATTAAAAGATGTGCCATCCTGCCTACAGAAAGGTTATTGCTGTGTCATTTTCCACTTTAGCTATACATATAAAACTCATTTATTAATCTTAACTTATAGTAATTTGACTCCTCAAATCATGTCTACCATGTAATAATATCAAATGTCAAAATGATATCCTAATGTACTGTTATTGGAACTTCTATTCTTCGATTTTCTGTATACACAGATTCTGTTGGGTCACAACAACATACGCAGTATAATCTTATGAGTTGGGTCTGGAGTGAATTGGCCAGACAGAATTCTATTCAAGTGAATTAAGGACACCGCAATGCATCAAAGTGATCACTTCAAAATTTACATCAAAACAAGCAGGCCAAAAACAGATGTTTCCTTCCATCGGCTCATACACTAATGTTTAGCAATCTAATTACTGTTAGAAGCCACTACAACACTCAACATTGGCTAGAGGTTGACAAAAATTATCAGTGCCTGCAAAGTTAGAACATTTGAACAAATAGTTACAGCTGTCTTGGAGAATGCTCCACCACGACTTCAACATGTTCTACATTTCCATCGCTGTCAGGTGCTGATGTTGGGGCTCCGTTCTCAACTCTTGATTGAGCAGCTGCATTTTCCTCACTGCTTGGACCAGCATTCTCTGTGCGCACAGGACGGAGAAAACCTTGCAACCTCAGCAGATAGCTCTGGCTAGAAGGTTGGGATCTCACATACCGGGCTGCTGTCACAATGTTGGTTGATGATCTTTCTAGATCAGCACGGATATTTGACAAAGCACTGAGATCAAGATTTGGAAAAACAGAACAACGGCATCTAGGGCATTTTACGTTTAGGCGAAGCCATTCATCAATGCACGCAACATGAAAGTTGTGAGCACAAGGGAGACCACGGACCTGCATAAAGGTTTTCTAATAAGAAAAACAGCAGCAGAGCCTAAATAAGGGCAACACCAACAGAACTAGTGCGACAGTCGTGATGTTGGCTTCTAGCAAACCAACCTTCTCCAACAACACAAGAAAAAGAGGAAAAATATAGATACAAATTACAAAACAGGCATAATAATGTCGTAGTGCCGCTAAATTGGAATTAGCATGACTTTGATCTCCTGAACCATCTTTAATATTAAGTATCTTCAAGGGATGCCAAGTTCTAAAATTATCCTCTTCACTAAGCTGCAGAAACCTGAAAGAGTATAAATAGGAACTAAACCTTAAAATGACACCAGGACAAGTTCTTCTAATTTCTTTTAACCATCTTTCTAAGAATTTAAACTCTTGATTTCTCTCGAATTGGCGGTGCTGGGGATCATTGCATGACAATAAATATTTCCACTAGTTAAGCATGCATCTTTAGACTATTATTGCCCCAGTAATCCCATACTATTACCCTACAAGAACATTGAAAATTAATCTGATTTGCATATAGAAAACCAGCCATAAAAGAAATATTGAATCATTGCTTGATGTTCACAATTTATTTTGGTGGAAGCTGTGTATAGAAGCGTTATTTAAGTAAAATTGAGAATGGCATACAAAATGTATTTATTATCTAAGAATGAGTAAACATTTGACAGCATCGTGCAAAAAAAGGGGAGTCGTAAATTTTCTCCAATAATAAGAAGTAAAGTTAACAAAAGAACAAAAATACCTCATTTCCGACGTCAAATTCTTCCAAACAGATAGGGCACTCACTGCAGTCCGTAGGAACAGCCTTCATCCTGAACATAGGAAGTTCTTGAATGAGTGCCTCCACTGCTTCTCTCTATGTGCCAAAAGGAATTCACCCATTAAGAATCTTTAATAGATCAGGTGTAGCAAAGGATTCATATTGAGGAGTGCCTTGAGCTGCATTACCTGAGCTTGGCTCAAATAAAGTCCTGGATGGTATGAAGTAGCATCTTGGCCCATCCCTCTCATCTCCTGGCCAGCAGCTTCAAATGCCCAATCTGGCACTCTGATCATGTCAACTAACACCTGTAATAAGGAAAATTGTAAGCTTGAGAAGTAAATCAAAATATCTTACCATGAAAACCAAAATTACAACATACCATGATGCCCAGGACTCTAAAAACTAGAAGTCGTGTGTTTTCACACTAGTGGCCCAAGAAAAAACACAATAACCATCATATGATTATTCATTTATACACAATATTCATTTCTGAGGACACAGAACAGATTAGTCGAACCAAATTATCGACAGAGATCACCCAGAGAGTAACTGTTTACACAACTCTTTAATTCCTAAAAGACACTAAAACAAAATTAGTGTGTTTAACATTGATGATACATATCGCGACTCCAACTAGCTTGAAATTGAAGCAAAGTTGATTGATGCATTGCTTGAAATCGATAGCAATATCTATGGCACAAAAACACTAACAGTCTTACATTTAACACACTATAACTATACTTACAAATTCATTTATTTCTTTTAACCATGATGTCTAGGTCCTCTTGCATGCACCTCGACTAATTCCATGATATACTGATATCTTCCACCAACACAAGAATCAAGTAACTTTGTCCCACTAAGACTTGGACATCCGTGAAGAAATCACCTAGTGATTTTGCCTCAGCGTGATATGACCGAAGACCTCATGGTTCTCAACCCACTTCATTGACACTAGGCCACACCCTGGGGGTGCAAAAATTGTTGCACATCAAGCTGTGCATTATTGCCGTAAATTTTCTCCCAAAAGAGGCATTCACTGCAGCTTTACACATCACACCTTGTTACTGATTAAAACTACTACCAAATGCATTACCAACTAACTGAGCTGCCCTTAGCAAACAGTAAGAAGCTTTAAGACCTTAGTAAACCACTCAAACCACCATAGCAACTCCCAAAACACATATCCACACAACCACTCTTCTTGCTTTGAAGAATAAAACAAGTCAACAACCATAAAGACTAAAGAAATTGATTCCCATTCCTTAATAATCTACATGACATAAAAACAACACATACCATTACATTTTTCTTTTTCTTTTCCATCCCCAATAGGGTGTTTGCGGTTTGGTTAAATACTGATCCAAACCAAAAATCGAACCAAACAAATTTTTATTTGGTTTTGGTTTGGATTGTAATTATGTTTTAAAAAATGATAATAAATGATTTAATTTGGCTTTATTGAATACAAACAAAATAAATAACCAAACTGATAAATTATATATACAACTTTTATAATTATATATTAATTTTTTTTTGACAAAGGTAACAGGTTTTGTATATAAATCATCAGCACTGAGGATGGAATCCAAAATTTTAAATCAGACTAATTAATTTTTAGTACTTCATATACTTTTTCATGAACGTTCTATTTATCCCTGATAGGCTAATGAATTGTACACCTGAAGCTCATTTATTAAAAGAAAATCATCAATCCAAACTCATTTATTTTAAGAAACAACTACTAGATTTACCTATATAGAATTCTTGTATTTCTTATCAATCTTATTCACTTGATTAAAATTTATAGATCTTAAGACATTTTCTCCATAATAAAGGAAAATTATAGCCACCACAACAAAAGGTTATTTATGGATTATAAATTGGAAGAGAATGAAAAATTATTTTCTAATTGTAGGGGAAAAAATAAAAAAGAGAAATATCATTATGTTTATTAAAAACCGAATCAAAATGACAAGAACCAAACAAATGGATATGAATTATATTTGGTTTGGTTTGGTTTGATTTTAATAATTACAAACTGACTAAATTGATTTAATTTTAGTTTACCCCAAAAAAGACCCAAGCCGGACAATGAACACCCCAAGCGCCAGCACAACTCAACAAGTGAAGGCTATTAGTCAGGATACAGGTGACTTGGATGACCTTGACCACTGCCAACTATAAGTGGACATTACATGAGTGTGAGTGTGTGCATTACACGCCATAAACCACACACATCAGTACGCATTTATTGTGTCCATTTCTATAGGCTTTTTCCAGTTATGATATATTTCTTCTTCTTTTTTGATAAAGTATGATATATTTCTTTTATTTGCAATTACAAGATATGGTATTTCATATCAATCAATTTCAGTGCACATTCTTATTCCTTATCTAAACCTAGAAAGAGCAACCAGGAGGCAGTTGCATCATATCTGTGGTGTGGGAGGGTTTTGAGATGGCTCATACTACATTGGGCCATGCAGGGAACAATGAAGAATGTACTATTAGGCTGGGACAGTAAAAGATAGAAAAGATGAAGTCATACGCTGGATGTTACTCCATTAGCACTAATGTGAGTTGTATGTAGGACTAATAGCTTTATTTGTACATATGACTATATGAGGAGGAGCCTCTTCTTCTAATTTTCTTTAGATGCACCCATATCATTCCTACTTATATAAAAAAGATTAGGTCTCCTTCAAGAAAACTTGTATGATCTCGACCTTTTAATATACTTCTTTTATATGGAAATTTCCTATTCTTAATGAAGTTTCACTTTACTTAATCAATAGAAACCTACAAAGAGCACATTTCTGACCAGCAGTTTGAAAGCATGACTACCTTATCATGGAGAGATAGCAAAGAATATCATCAATTTAATGTTTTTGTACAATAAAAGAAAACAAAATATGTATAACAGGAACAACTTAATTCTTAACATGTCATATGTGAAAGCCAAAATACATTAAATCAAGTATATTGTGCTTTCTAATGCTTACCCCAAATTCTGAAATAGGAATTCCTTGTTGAGCGCGTAATAAATGGGCTTGCCTTCTAGCTAACCACTGCAATAAGAAATTGAAAACTTAAGGAAAGTTGTAATATTGACATCAATAAAATTGTATAGATGTCGATTTTCATTTATCGGATTATTTGAAATCCATTTACATACTAACAAGACAAGGTAACGCCAATACAACATTGGTATTTGGGATAATCTCCCGCCCTCCAAAACAGAACATGACATCACACCGGGCAAGAAAAAGAATCAGGAGACCGACATTCTATTTTCTGTCCGTTACAGGTTGTATCCTGCTTTTAGTTCTTCTTTTCGGAATTTGTTGCTTTAACGCTCTCCTTTTTCACTTTTTCAAGAGGGGGATAGGATAACTCGGAAATGGAACTGTCCAAATTGAACTAAGGCGGTAAGTAGTTGAATTTTCGGAAGGTTTAGAAAATAACCTTCCCTGTCGATATGCAAGCTATGCACATGAGTCCACAGTAGCTGAACAGCAACCATATTAGGAAGCCCCACTTTTGGCCTTCTTCTGGAAGCTGAAAGAGTTTGGGCATAATGTCAATTCTAGGCTTTCAAACCAGAACAATGGAAGCAGCAAAGGACTACTAAACTTACGCAGTTTCTTGCACTAGTGAACCATAACGTCCCAATGATGGTCCAAGCCCAAAGAAAGGGGTAAAGAAGCAAGGCAAGAACTGAAAGAACAGCTACTCTTCCACAAAACCGGCCATATCTCTGCTGCCAACCAAAATCCCTAAAATGCAATAACACCTAAAACTTCAGACTAGTCATCTAAGTGCACAATCTATATAAGGCAGAGAAATCCAAAAAACAACCAAAAGAGTTACTCCGTCATCCAATCTGCACATTTCTCCTGGCATTTACTTAAATGATATGGAATCAAGAGAACAGAGTGGAGCTACGAACATGAACAATCACGATAGGAGTATTATTTCGAGGAGTATACGCCCAATAAGCAATAGCTTGGGGAATCTCATGCAAGGTAGGTAATGCAGGTAGCACAGTAAATCTAGAAAGAACACATAAGAGGAATTTGCTTCTCTTACACATTAAAATGATTTTTTAAAAAAACAAATGAGGCCTTACAATCCCATTCCAGCAGCAAGTCCATTATCTACAAACATCAACAGCCGAAACACAAACACTGTTGTATAGTCAACCTAGATTGAAGAAAAGGGTAAAAATTGAGATATACAACAACAACAACAACAAATACGGAAAACAACTCAAAGAAATTTATTGATACCCACCACGATCCAGATATGCAATGGGTATATACAAAGATGGTACCTTTTCCAGTTGATAGCTACAATGATTCTGATAAACAAACAGTTAAAGAAACAATCCAACGGCCAACAAATCAAATCCAAGTTCATAGTAATCCCAATATAAAAAAATCAACTTCCTAGGAGGGAATCATTTGAAAAGGATACATACTAGTAGCCAGCATTGACAGGAAGAACCCATCATACCTACAAGAAAAAAGAACTCAAAAAAATTAAAACTTGATAACTCAACTATAAAGATAAAATATTAGAAGAGTTACCATTTAAAATCAACTCCTCTCATCGCCATTGAAGAAACTTCCAAGAACCCTAAGAGAAATTCAAGAATTCAATTTTTCATATTTCAAGCAAAATTGTTGAAGTCAAATCTTTGAATTCGCTGATTCTGCAGAAGACCCATCAACTAAGAGTAGAAAATATATAAATTTGCTGTAGGGATTTGAAGGGACACAAAAGAGGAAAAGAAAAAGTTACTTTTTTGAGGAAGAAGTGTTGAAGTGAAGAAGAAATAGGACTATCTAATTAGGTGGCGTTTGGCACGCCTTTTTTCTTTGGTCCGTACAAAAATTTATACCTCCCTCCATTTTTATTTACATATAATTGTCGTCATTTTAAATTTTACGTTTTTGAAGTTATGTACTTATTTTGTGTTCTCTTAGGAGTTATTTGGTAGAATTATAAAAATAATGTTTTATAAAATGTATATTAATTATACATAAATTATTTTTTATATATTATTTGATTTTGATGTGTTAAGAATAGTATATATTGTATTAAAATATTTATTTATAAAAGTATTCTCTATAATATGATGGAGTGATTGAGTTTTGTTAATATTAATACCTGTTAATACACTTCACAACGCACAATATTATGTATAACTTATTTCAAAGTTTATACTCTCTCAATCCAACAATAATTGTACATTATTGATTTGGCACACACCTTAAAAAATTATAATAGTAAAAGTAGTATTCGTATTATATTATCCTTTAACTGTATTAAATTTAATATTTTGAAAAATGTGTTAGATGATAAATAGATTATCTAACGTAACAAACTAAAATAAACAGAAAAAGTAAATTATTTCTCTTAATGTTCTAAATTGAAAATATTATTAGACAACTATTTTAGTATAGCGAATAATTATCGTAGACTGACAGAGTGAAGGCTGGCTCTTGCCTTCAAAATTGGCCTTAGGTCCCCATTTTTTTGGGCCTTTAATTTTTACAAATAAATAATTACATATTTTAATCACATTAAAATAGAAGAAATCAAGGAAATATTATTTTGGATTCTTACATTTCCTTAGCTAACTTTCATATTATTTATTCTTTTCAACTCTTTTGCATTCTATTTTTTCAAATCTTTGGTTAGAGTAATACACTTTCAAAAGTATGAATTAGCAGTCGAAAAGTGTTGAATAAAGTACATTATAATTTTTATATTTCTTTGTTAATTTTCATATTAAAGTAGATGTACCAAATTATCAATTTTTTGAATCGAATTCTATAATTATAACTCTTATCTTCAAAGTTTATTAACTTATTACTTATAAAATTATGTTAATAATTTATTTAGTAATTGTCTCAATAAAAAAGTATAGAACAAAAACATTTATATAATGATATTAAGTAGAAATTTACGTCTAGAAATTTAGAAAAACTAATAAATACAAATGAAGTTCATTTAAATTTTAGGCCTCTAATAAAAATTTTGATTTATGCATTGAAATAACTCTCAAGGATAAAAATAAGGGGGAAGGCGATTTTGATAATTCAATTGATTGACTATATGAACTCAGACATTATTGATACGGTTTAATTTTTCACGTTACAATTCTCTTCCCATATTCCAAATCAAATTAAAAAAAATAATTATATTAATTATGTATAACAAGTGACATTTAAATAGAAATAAGACATAAAATTATAACGTATCGAAATGTAATCAAACTGCAATGAGAATATAGAATGCAAAAATTGTAACGTATGATCAAATAGAAATAAAACAGAGGAATGAAGAATCCGTTAAAACAGACAACGTTTATTTGTGAGAGTTGGATGGGTCCCACGTAGACAACTTTTATGATGATGTGATTGAATTAACATCTCATTGAGCCTAACAAAAAAAAATATTACCTTCATTTTTTATGTTCTTTCTACACAACTTTTTTTTTATTTTATATAATAGATACAAGTCCCATATTAGTATTAAGCTCAATATATATTATTTTTAATTTTAATTTATGTGATATTATGAAGTTATCTAAAACTTGTGAGGTCAACTAGCCCATTTTTGGAGTGTGCTTAACGAAAATGTAGAAATAGGGTGGTCAAACTTTTGACCTACTTTCTTTATATACTTCTATAATTTTCTAATCTTATTCTTCTCTTTTATCATTTTATTTCATCTCACAACAGGCCTGGGTACGAAAGAGTTTTTTTATAATACTCCCTCCTTCCGTGCGATATTGTTTGTTATGATTTATATTTTTAGAGTTAAACTATACAAAATTTAACTAATATTTTTAAAATATATTTTTCATCATATTAATATGCAAAAAATTGTAATTTATAGTACTTTTTATATAGTTTTAGAATATTTAATTTTTTTTATTAAAATATCAAATTAATATGATCTAATTTACCTTTAAAATTTAATCAAATTGACTTTCGATAAATGCAATATGACAAACAATTCTAGATGGATGGAATAGTAACTTTAAATATGTCATAGTTTTTGTAAGTCAATATATAAATTATTATAATTTAAAAGATTTATATCATTGATTTTCACATAATCGCGTTTTTGTCAAGTATCTTTTCGGATTTTTTCCGATATTTGGAATTTTTTCAGGTTTTTAGCTTTTCTGATTTGTATTATAAAATAATAGAGTAGTAGCAATCACCAATAACCTTACTATATCAAATATTTTTTCATACGAATATCATTAGGATTGGAAGATTATTTCAGCTGCAGATAGTTAATCCTTCCCCACCACGTCATAGGACTCAGAACACATTGTTTATCTTGTTAATTATATTGATGATTATAATAAAACTCATCAAAAAGAGGCATTAACAATAAGGTAGATACTGTTGAATGAACAATTTCAATTCCTTTATTCGCCAAAAAAAACCTTATGCTGCAACTACTTAAAAGCTAATCATCCATGGTATCACAATCATAGGAAGATTGAGAGGATTCTCCTTTTACTTCATATATCTTATTTTCCCCTGCCGAAGAATCAGAAACATGTATGGGCGAGAATTTGGAAGCACACTGATGATTTTGGTTGTCAATCATATACTTGAGCCTATCCAAAACTTGTTTAGCTTCAGCCTTAGCTAACAGAGCTTCCTTAATCCTAATATCAGCATTAATCCTAGCCATAACGGCAGCATTGTGAATAGATTCAGAAACAATAGTAGCAGCGGCAACCAACTGTTTAGCCAAATGTGTATTGATTTCGATTGCGTTATTAACGGGAGTAACATAGAAGAAAGTGAAATTAGGGTTAGAACAGAGAGGGCACAAGTAACCAGAAGGAGCATCAGGTACACAAGAGAGGTGTGAAATAGAGGGGCATTTTAGGCATAAGAGACGGAGACGAGGGGGAGGAGGGTTATGGAGGAAGACATCGAAGCAGATGGGACAGAAGGAACCGGGGTGGGAATCCAGTACACAGGCGGTGCAGAGATGACGGTGAATACCTCTGTAAGGGAGAAGGTGGAGGATGAAGGGGCGAGTGGCGGAGCAAACCGCACATCGGCTGCCGGAAACGATTTGCTGCATGATCCTAGGGAAAATCAGGCGTAATCTCAGATTTATTTATATTATACAAAATTTGTTGAGATTCAAAGTACCCAATCTTCTCTTTTTGTATGTTCATTGCATGCATTCATCATTGATTGAAATAGATATCTTTCGGCTTTTTACCCACCAACTCTTAAATACAATATTTTGGAAAAAAAGGAATTAATCCTAATATGAAAAATCAACCTCCAAGGTGTGCTAAAAATTGACACTCCATTAAAGAGGATGAATGTTAATAAGGAATAGAAAAGATATGTGATTTATCTGTGCGATTGTTTGCAACAAATTTTAAACATATGAAAATTTTAAACATATGGAAAATAAATAAATCATACAAATAAAATATGAAGAAACGTGATTTTATTCATCAAGATTGTGAGTACAAATTTGTTCCTACCTTGATTCTACTCTCTAAGAACTAGGATGATTTAAATTTAACCTCTCTATGTGAATAGTGCATCAATTTGTGGAGTATTCGAGATATTGATCTCTTTATGGAATTTTCGAGATGCCTTTTAACGGAATTTAATACCCTTTATATAGGCATAAACTAGGGTTTAGGGTTGAGTAGTCTCCAAGTATCCTTATCTGAGTTGAACACAATTTGTAGAGTCCCAACTCGAATTGAACGCATCTTATAGAGTCCTACAAAATTTCGATGTCTACAGCGATCCTTAAGATATTCGGATACTCATTTTGCTAATAGCAGAGTTAAAAATTGATACTCCATTTTGCTAATTTCTCTCATCTCTAAGCATGATGGCAGTAACAATATTTGTAAAGATCCTACTTTTCTGTGATATCTAAACACCTGCGAGCAGATTTGATTAGAAAGATAGTTAAGTATATACATTAAATCTATCGGGAGTGAGCTAAAACGGGATGTTTTGTGCAGTCGGTTGCCCCTTTACTAATTATACAAGGACCTTGTTAGAATCAAGCATCCACCATGAAAGTGTGCAATGAAGCTGCTAAGATTGTTGAGAAGAAGAAGAGGAAGGGGAAGAAGAAGAAGAATGAGAGAAAACGTGACTGCCTTTAATATTCATATGCTTGATTACTTACAAAGAAGGTAAAATGACTATTTTATACTAACTACTTAATGGTAATTAACTAACTAATCAATTTACTAACCAACTTAACTAACTAACAAATCTGTTATATAACTAACTAATAACAATTTTTTTGTAGTAGTTCCTTCAATGCACTCCAATGCAACTTGTCAATTCCTCAACAGACCTCATAAACAATTTCTGTTTTACTTTCGGCGAAATTAGTTAATACTTTTTTTCGTAAGATGTAGCTTTCAAGTTCATGATGATGAATTGAACTTGAGGTGGTCAGCAGAAGACCAGCAAAACTATCACTCTAATTTTCTTTAACATCACAGTAACAGTAGTAAGAGATTGAAGATTTACCTCAGATAAAAACAGATCGAACGTACAAGAAGTTGACTAATCAGAAGTATGAGGAGCAAGAAAAACCAAAATACACAGCTAGATACAAAACAAAGCACAACCATGTTAAGAGTTAGATACAGGACAACTGGTGCCTTAAGATTCTTGAACTTTAAGAGCTCATTACCATGTGATGAAATGGAACAAGAGCCTCTTTGGAGAACTATTTTTCACTTAATGATCGAGCTAGGAGAGACATAGACAACACGGTAATGTGATGAAATTGGGAACATAACAGAAGGGCTCAACTTTAGGTTGGAAAATGCAGAGAAACGTCAAATATGAAAGTTTATAGTTGCAAAAGCAGGTATAACATAGAACCTTAGAACTTTGTTCAACACGATATCGCCAATTACACATAATCTCAACATTATCAACGTGGCGCTTATAGTATTAGTTGAGCTATCATGATTTTCTACTTCAAAATATTAATTAGTAATCAGAACATAGACATTTATATATATGGGCAAAAGTGAAAAATATACAAATTTTTTTCTAACTACATAAGGATCGAACTATATAAATATTTATATATCTTGTAGAATGTGTGAATTCTGCAACCACTCGTCAGGAATATCAAAAGAAAAATCCTGTAATACTTTATACATCCCTTCCTGAAATTCATTGCTTCTAATATCGTCAACTCCGTTGCCTTCTTGTACTTCCAACGCTGTCTCTCTCTTCTCCATTGTATTTCGAACGTCAAATTCGGTAGTTGTAGCCTCAACTTCATCACAAACCCTAACTTGATCTTCCCTTGTGGAGTAGACATTATTATGATTAGGATCAAGTAACATAGGATCGATAATTCCCGCGACATCTCCATCTTGTGCCTCTATAACATGATCCACATTCTTTTCTTTATCCATGATCTTCTTCTTCTTGATTCGACACACTACAAAATCTTCTTTAAGAATATGATTGTTCTCCTTAAAGAAACTATCCGCAACTTGATATTCTATCATCAACCAAGTTTTATTATGGCCACATTGATCACTTGTTTCAAACCTGAACTTTCTCTTAAACCCTACCACAGGCCCCATACCATTCCTCCTTATAAGTTCTTCTCCGGTTTGCCCTTTCCACGTCCCTTTAGCACAAGTTCGAGAAAACCTTGCATCTTTTATCCTCCGCTTCTTCAAAGGAGTAATAAAGTAACGAAACTTCTCTTCAAAATTAGCTCCGAATATCTCCCATGGTGGTTGATCTCCATATATATCCGCAAACTGGATAGGACATTGTTGATTCAAAGATAATTCGCCTTTGAAAAACCTCTTAAGATAGTTGATTAGCTCCGTATCAGTGGGATGAAAACGTATTCCCATTTGTTTCGACATTGATTCTTGATCAAGAGTTAACCTATGTAAACCTAAATGAATTATGTGAATTATGAAGTCTAAACAAAGATAGTTATCTATTTATACACCTCTTATTACCATAATGGAAAAAAAAGTGTAATTCGTTAACAAACAGGTTACTTTATTTCCTAAAGTACTAGTATCTACTATAACCGTAACTGAATTAACTAATTTTAGGTTACTTAATTACTTCTCATAAAAAAGTTTATTTCCTTAATTAGGTACGTGCCCCACTTTTTGAAGCGCTCTTTCTCCTATAATTAACTTGATTTAACAAATTAGTAATATATTGAATTATAGAAAATTAAAAATATCTTTGAAGTGACCTTTTTTTTTTCGTCAACTGCCGAAATTTTTTTGTGCCCCGCGGTATATTGATGCTAACAGGAGCTGTTATTTTAGGTAAGTTGTTGAGTTCAATTCCCTCTAAATTTTGGTCACATATGATAAGATTAATCAATATTTATGAACTAGGTTTTAATGATTTTTTTGTATTCTTTTATTATTTTTAGTACTCTATAATATGATTATTTTTCTTTATTATGATATATAGAGAGAGATCAATAATCAACTCAAATGGACGAATTTGGACGGGTTATAATTTCATATTCATGCACGTAACTAGTATGCCATTTAAGTTTATTGGTCAACCTCTTGATTAATTAATTAATCTCAAAATGAAGTTTCATGTTTGAAAACTCTAATGTGCCCTCCTTTTCCCTTTACAAGGTACACAACTAGTAGTCCCTCTGTCTCAAATTATATAACACTTTTTTATATTTTGAGAGTCAAATAATTTAAGTTTGATCAGAAATTTGAATATAGAATTTTTAATCTTTTTGAAATAAAATTTATATATTTGAAAACTACGTAAAAAGTACTATGAGTCACAATAATTGATAATTCAAAATGTTTAAAAGATTTATATAAATATACAGTCAAAGATAGACTGGCTTGACTCTTGAAATCCGAAACGTGACATATAAAATGGGACGAAGAGAGTAATATCTTGACAAAAGTAAGACCTTCTAATCAATCACATCTTGGTGCAGTTGAATTAGTAGAAACAAAAGAGGTGTTAATCAGAGGCAGATCTAGGATTTGAAGGTCCTTGGTTTCACATTGTTCAAGTAAGATAAGTGGTCGGTTGCTTTTTAATTTTGAGTTACAATTGAGTTATTTATCTTTTTCGATCTTTGTAATCAAATCGATCAAACATGCATTTTAGTAATATTTTCTTTTAGATATTATGAGAGAGCTAAGTAACAATTAAATTTTTATTTCTTTTTTAGGAATTAGTGGTCTTATTCGCTGAAATTTTGTGGAAAAAAAAGTTTTTTCATACTAAAATTTGAGCTTGTATGAACTATCTAATAGTTTTAACTCAATATATTCATATTCCATTGACTTTATGTGTTTTTCCAAAATATAACAAAAGAGAATACAAATTTTAGCTTCAATCTAGTCATCTTACTTAGCAAGAATGTTGTTGAAGATCGAAAGAACCTTCAAATTAAAAAAACTCTAATAATAATATTCATCATTTTTAAAATTACTATTTAAATATATTCTTGATAATATCTATGTCACGTTATTACCTACTTTGCCAATTGAACTGCTAACCATTTTATTCAGTGGACGGCAAAAAAAAATATATTAATTTTCTTAAATATGTATACACGTATATACAAAAGTTTTTTTCAGAGATTAGTGGATGCCGTGACACCCACTGGGACTTATAGATCCGCCCTGGTGTCAACACATAATCCGTATCGTTTTTCTCCCTTCCAAGTACGAATAACAACAACCATAATGATATTTAATAATAATAATAATATGAGAAACTTACATAAACTCAACTGGTTTAAATAAAATATACTTTAGTTTGTATTATTATAATTTTTATCAAATTTTAATGCGTTTAGATACATCAAGATACATGTATCTCAAAATATATAAGGCAAAAATTAGGTGTAATTTATTCTAATTAGTGGTAAAATAGGTACTCTCTCCGTTTCACATTTTATGTGACACTTTTCAAATTTCGAGATTCAAACAAGTCTATCTATGACCATAAGTTTTCCATAGATTTTTTAAACATTTTGAATTATTTTTCATCAATTTTTATGACTTATAATATTTTTTTACGTAATTTACAAATATATAAATTTTCTTTTCAAAAAAATTTAAAGATTTCATGCTCAAACTTTTTATTAAGCTTAAACTTTTGAAAAATAAATAATACCAAAAAAATTGAGATAGAGTGTATATTTTGTTTATCATTTGCATCATGTCTTATTATTTTACGATATGTTTCTCACTCTAA